TGAAGCACTCTGGAGGACTCCAGCAGACAGAGACCAGGGCTTGGCAGGCATGTCCCCCTCCCCAACCCCTGTCCCTGTTCAGATCTTCTCCTTGTGCCATGGCTCGTCCTCAGGACCATTCTCTTCTCTGGCACCTGGACTGATTCTGTTTGCCTCCGGAAACCCAAGAAAATGCACTGTGGTCCAAAAATATCAAGGTAGCCCCTGTCCATGTGCTCCAGCTTTTCCAAGTTTGCCGAGACAAGAACTCATGGGAATTATGAAACACTCACAAATGAGGCTCAGAAAGAAACTGAAGTTGGCCAAAGTCTATCTTTGCCTCCACATTTAGTGACAGTTATATTTAACTCATTGGAGTTTAGGAGTCATAAAACCTAGTTACCGATACCAACTCTCACTGCGGCGCAGGGGTCATTAGGCAAATGGGGGCCACGATGCTTAATTTTGCTGATTTGTCATCGCTCAGCAGATAGGGGCTCTGAGGGCTGTGAATACAATGGATTTATCCTTGTATCTCTGCACTAACAAAGGTAATTTGTCTCTGGAATTCTTTCTCCTTTGGTATTTTAAAGCAGTAGTAAAAAAAATGCTAGTCTCTTTTGAAAGAAAAGATGTCTCATCTACTCTTGCTCAGATCAACTTAACATCTATATAAATTGGCAGCAGTGCAGCCATTATTATTTATATTTAATAAAAACAGTTAGTTGACAATGGCTAAAATGAACTTCTCAACTCCAGGAAAAGCCAATTTTGTATTTGCTATTTTATTTTATTTTATATTCATTTCTATATTCTATAAATTATACTTTGACTATCTATCTATCGATTTCTGTTAGTTTATTTCTTGGTTTTTTGAGACAGGGTTTCTCTCTGAAACAGACCTGGCTGTCCTGGCACTCCCTTTGTAGACCAGGCTAGCCTCAAGCTCACAGAGATCTGCCTGCATCTGCCTCTTGAGTACTGGGATTAATGCTATCTGCCACTATGCTCGGCAGGACCACCTATTTTAATTGATCGTAACATCCCAATTTTCACTAATAATGAGGTCAATAAAATCTTAAGCACATTTTATATCTTTATTATAAAAAATATAAAAGGAATTGATTTAATTTTGATAATTATTTTTTTGGATAAAAAAAAAATCTTGTTTTTAGCCAGGCTAGGTGGCACATGCTTTTAATCCTAGCAGTCGAGAGCCAGGGACTGGTGGATCTCTGAGTCTGAGGCTATCCTGTCTACAGATTGAGTTCTAGGATAGCCAGGGCTACACAGAGAAACCCTGTCTTGAAAAAGCTAGCAGGAGGGGAGGGCAGGTGGGTGGAGAGAAGAAGGAAATTGCATCAGACCAGTAACAGGTAAGGAGATTGATGAGATGATGTGATACCTCACAGAGAACAGGTCAGGGCAGGTGGTCTGCTTCTAAGTTCTAGCTTTTAAAGAAGTTTATCGGCATTTTCTCAGATTCTTCCAGAAGAACAGAGCAAAAAGAAACACATGCTAACCCACCTTAGGAGGTCAGTCTTACCCTAATACTGCAACCAGAGACAAAGATGCAAGAAGACCTTAGACCAGAACCCTTACTGTATAGGGGTGTGTGTGTGTGTGTGTGTGTGTGTGTGTGTGTGTGTGTGTGTGTATCTATGTATGTAGTAAACAAAACCCTACAGATATTAAAAGGATTATACACTAAAGTCAGGTGGGATTTAACCAAGGAAGTTAAAGGTTTACTGAAAGCTAAAAATCAAAACAAATAAAACCTCCCAGAAAGGCCCAAGAACATCTAAGTAAGCGGGGCTGTATCCCTGTTCATGAATTAAAAAACTTAATGCGTTCGGACAATGATTCTCCCTAGAGTGGGCCACAGAGGCAGCACTATTACTATCCAAAGTCACAAAGTCATCCCCTCTTCTGTAGGAGTAAAATCTACACTTTCAGACAAGAGTCTCGGTACAGTCAAATGATGAAGAAGGTTAGAGGTCTCACATTTCCCAATTTTAAGGCTTATTGCAAACCTACACTAATAACAACCAAATGGGGTTGACATAACAGTAAGTCATTGACGGTGGAATCAAGTTGAGATTTCAGAAATAAACCTCTCCTTTTGTGGTGGGCCGATTTTGACAAGGGTACCCCAATCATCCAATGGGGAAAAATAGTCTCTGTAACAGTGGTGCTGGGAAAATGGTTATTCACGTGTTTTGATTGGACCCTGTATTAGTCAGGGCTCTCTAGAGGAACAGAAAATACAGAATGAATCTATATGTAAAGAGAAAAGGGATTTATTAGGTTGGTTTAAAGGTTGTGGTCCAGCTTTTTGCCAGTGGGAAGACCAGTAATCCGGTATTGTGCAGTCCACAAGGCTGGATGCCTCAGCTGGCTTCAGTATGTGCTGGAATCCCTAAGGGGGCTCTAATGCCAGAGCCAGAGAAAGCAGGCAAAGAGAGCAAGCTTCTTTCTTCCATGTCATTACATAGGCTGCCAGCAGAAGGGGAAACCCAGATTAAAGGTGGATCTTCCCACTTCAGAAGATCCAGATTAAAAGCGGGCTTTCCCACTTCAAATGATTTAATTAAGAAAAAAAATCCCCAGTAGGGGCTGGAGAGATGGCTCAATGGTTAAGAGTGCTTGCTGATCTTCCAGAGGAACAGAGTTTGGGACTCATCCCCTGCCTGTAACTCTAGCTCCAATGGGTCTGACACACTGCTCTGGACCCTAGGGTACCGGCACACGCTTGCACAAGCTGCTCTGGACCCTAGGGTACAGGCACACGCATGCACAAGCATACCTACACCTATAAGTCAAAATAATAAAATAATTTTTTGAAAAAAGCAACCGAAGGAATTGGGAGAGGGGAAGAGCATAATCAGAATATATAATATGAAAACATTTTAACGTTAAAAAATAGCTCAAAGTGAATCAAATAACTCAATATAAGGGCAAAGTCCATAAAACTACTAAAAGAAAAACATACAGTGGAATTTTCCTGACTTTGGGATTTGGCAGTGAATTCTTATATATGACAATAAAAATATGAATCACAAAAGAAAAATGCATAAGCTATACAACAGTCAAGTAAATAACTTGTGTGCATAAAAGGACAATATTAGCAATGGGAAAGACAGCAGTCAGAATGGGAGAACATATTTACAGCTCAGTGTCTGGTGAAGTCTAGCACCAGGTATAGATAGACAATACACTTAAGATTCAACACGGAAAGACAGATCATGAAATTTGAAAGCTACGAAGATCTGGGTGGTGGTGGTGCACGCCTTTAGTCCCAGCACTCGGGAGGCAGTGATCATGACTTACTACTTAAAACCCAGCACATGTAAGGCCTAAAGTCAAAGTTGTTTGCACAGAAAGCTGTGGCTCAGGAGGTCTGCAGTGGGCTTCTCGGGTAACAGAGCTTCAGCTTTGGTAGGTAAGTGCTTCCATACCTCACACCGGTGAGAAGTTGTAATTTAAGGTTTTTGTTTTGTTTCTTGTCTTCTGAGACAGGACTTCTCTGTGTAGCCCTGGCTGTCCTGGAGCTTGCTTTGTAGACCAAACTGGTGTTGAACTCTGAGATCTATGCTTTTGCCTCCCCAGGGCTGGGGCTAAAGGGGTGCGCCATCACACCTGACTTGAGAAATTGTAATTTAAATTGTGGCCATTTTGTTTTTAAAATTTTAAAGTGTAGATTTTTGAGTTGGCTCAGTGGTTAAGAGCGTTTATCACACAAACCTGACAATCTTAGTTGGATCCAGAACTCAGGCAAAGGAGGAAGGAGAGAACCAACTCCCCAGAGTTGTCCTTTGACAGGAAGAGATACACAGTGTCCTGTCTATAGTTGCACAGCAGCATGTCTATAAGCACACAGTGGCATGTCTACAGGTGCACAGCGACATATCTACAGGTGCACAACATCATACCTACAGGTGCACAACAGCATTTCTACAGGTGTACAACAGCGTGTCTACAGGTGCACAACAGTGTGTCTACAGGTGTACAGCAGCATGTCTACAGGTGCCCAGTGACATGTCTACAGGTGCACAGCCGCATGTCTACAGGTGCACAACAGCATTTCTACAGGTGTACAATAGCGTGTCTACAGGTGCACAGCAGCATGTCTACAGGTGCACAGTGACATGTCTACAGGTGCACAGCCGCATGTCTACAGGTGCACAACAGCATTTCTACAGGTGTACAACAGCGTGTCTACAGGTGCACAGCAGCATGTCTACAGGTGCACAGTGACATGTCTACAGGTGCCCAGTGACATGTCTACAGGTGCACAGCCGCATATCTACAGGTGCACAGTGGCATGTCTACAGGTGCATAACAGTGTGTCTACAGGTGCACAACATCATGTCTACAGGTGCACAACAACCTACCTACAGGTGCACAACAGTGTGTCTACAGGTGTACAAAAGCATGTCTACAGGTGCACAGCGGCATAGCTACAAGTGCACAGCAGCATATCTACAAGTGTACAGCAGCATATGTACAGGTGGCATGTGTGCACCTGCACACAAACATTGCATATACAATGATAGTAATAAAAAATGAAAAAACAGAAATTAAATTCTAACCAATACAGATTAGAAGTATGTGTCTATCAATGGGGCAATGTAATAAAGTTTAATATATTCATACATTGCATAATCTTTAAATTGACTTAATCATAATCACCTCCGTGGACATTTGTCAATTCTTGTGGTGAATGCTTTCAAAATACTTTCCTATCATTTTTGAAATGTACAGTACATTTAGCTACAGTGGTGCGCTCGTACCCCGGAGCTCCCAGCTCCTATCTTACCATGACTCAGTACCCAGTGACATGTGCCTTTGTTGTTTAAGAAGTGACGGCCATGTTACGTTGCAGTAATTTGGAGACTGGGAAACAGAAGTGTGTTAGTGTCAAGTTGTACACACACATAAAGGAACTAAGAGAAGGCTACAGAATTTGTGTGAATTCCTCCATCTAGGTGTGTCTGTTAACATTTCAAAACCAAACGCCCATGAGGAATGTACTGAGCAGGATCACAGAGTTTCAATGGTACCAGATGCAGCAGAGGGTGAGAAGTGAAGGCGGCACTGGGAAGGGGTCTGTGGGGGTCTTTGGAGGAGCTACTTCATGCTTGTGTGCTCGTCATCACATGCAGAGTCATTTTATAGATGAACCTGTCACACAGCATTGCGTGCGGCAAATTTCCCCTCACACATGCTGGAGCTCTTGCCACCACCCACCAGTGAGCACCCGGAGATCAGCCTTGTCCCTCTAAATGGCTGAGGCTACCCCCTTGTGACTAGCAGTTGTTGAGCCTTTGCCAGCACTGTTTAACCTCTGCGCAATCAATGGGACAAGGATTACTCTTGCCTTGTTTATACAGACGGGAGCACCTAAGTACAGAGACTCTCGAGATCTAGATCTTGGGTGTCTGTTCCCCGAGCCCAGGCTCCAACCACACAGAATTCTACACCCTCGAACTGAAATAGAGTGACTGTAATCCTGGTATTTATTACTGGACCACTCTGCTGTGCTGAGACAAGCCATATTTATTTCTATGGGATGCGGCAAAGAAACCCATCCCATCCCCTCTCGCTAGTGTCCCTGTCTCCCCTCTCTTCTTTTCTGTCTCTCCCTCCCCCAACTTGTGTGTGTGTGTGTGTGTGTGTGTGCTTGCCTCTGTGTCTTTGTGTCTTTGTACTAGGGGATTTCAGGTGTGGTCCAGGCTCAGCTTCTGTCTTCTTTTCACGTGGTTTTATTGTCTCTCTGGAAACTGAGCTCCCTAGTGTAGAATTACTGTAGCCCCAGCTGACAAACAAACCTCACCTGAGCAGGTTGGGGGGGATCTACTTGGGGAGTCTGGGGAGATGTGAGTGTCGAGGGAGAGATCTGCTGGCCAAGGGTGCTCTGGTTTTGTGAAGGACTGCAAGGGAACACTGCTGGACACACACAGTTTCTGTGTTCCAGCTGCGGGGGAGGAGCGGAAATAAATTCCCTGCTTGGGATCCAGCGTGAAGAAGCAATGCAACTTAAAACCTCAAGCTGCACCTTTCTTCCCATGCTCAGCAGAATGGCAGGCTGTCCCCTGGCTGTCCCTGGCGTTCATGGTCACATGGTTTCCTAGTTAGAGACATTAGTGGGAAGGCAAGTTCGTGGAGAGGGACCCTGAATGCCTAGGCTGAATTGTCTGCGACTCTGAGAATTCCTCCTGGGGGTACTGATCCATGTTTCAGAGAAAGACTGTCGGTTGCATACGCAGAGGGAAGATGTCGGGCACGGATTCTTCAGCATGTATTTGTGGGTGACAGATTCTTGGGATGACTTTTTGTGCTCGTTTGCGGGAGAAGCTCGGCTCATGGATAAGGAGGCCAACTTTCCAAAGCCGCTGTTCAGGTGGGGCAATCAGAGCAGGGTGGACCAGAAACATGCTGAGTTCAGGGAAGGACCGGAATAGCTTTCTTGGCACCTGAAGTGGTCCAAACCACTAAGTGAAGAAACAGACTTCCTTCAGTACATCTGACCAAATCATCTGTAAGCTGGCTGGGTTGCTTCAATCTAACTGCAACCGTCCTGACCGTTCAGGAGAGAGCTGGGAGCCGAGTGGGGAGCGGGCAGAGTGAAACCACAAAAGCCTCCCCTCGGAAACTAGAATGGAGATGTCGTTCCTGCAGCAGGTCACCGTCGCTCTTAGCCCGTCCAATTATCTTTCATTTCCCCTCATAATACCAGTCATATTTTTATAAAACCAGAATGTAGACAGGCATATTTTCTGGTAGATGAATGGTGTACATCATTTTGTATAATTTAATTTTGTATAACTTAACTTTGTATAACTTATTATGCAGATTAAATTAAGTGCCTGTGAAGTTGTGCCTCCAAACCATGACCTTGGCTCCCAGAACAAGATGAATACCCCAGCATGAAACGCGGTCACGTGATCCCTTCTGATGCTTTTGGCAGAAGTGAGTGACGGAAGAAGCTGGCAAAGTCTTGACACCAGACTGTAGCAACCTTTGCCAGGCTTCTCCACATGTCAACTTTCTCTAGGTAGGAGAAGTCACATCTAGGACATAGATCACATTAACAGCCAGATGAGGCATCATCTTGCCAGAAAAAAAAAAAAATCACCTCCCCATACAGGCTTTCATGTGTGCGCATGTGGTTGATATTAGAGACCCTAAGGTCCTTTTCTAAAATTCCAGGGATGTCATAACCAAGGGCTGAGGAGGCATATGTTTGCTTGAGATGGAGAGAGGGATGGTCGGAGGGAGCGGACTCAAGCTCTCCGTAGGGAGCTGTGCTCTGGATGTGAACGGAGTTTAATTTTGCCTGTTTATCATAGTGGTGTAAATAGAAGCATTGCCATCAGTTTTTCCCAATGAGCAAAGCACCACATGGAATCTCTGGGCACTGAGACCCTTGCGTAATCATGAGTGATTTTACAGGCTGTGTCTGCTTCAGAAGGAAGAGAGGGGATGTGTCGTGCTTTGAGTGTGCAGTGTCCCTGGGGTCATGTGTTTGAATGATCAGCCTCTAACGGATGCACTGTGTGGAGAAACTGTGAGCCCTTAGGAGGTGGGGCCTTCTGGGGTTTTACAGCCCATGCTCACTCCGATCTACTCTCTGGTGCGCAGATTGGCAGAACTAGAAGCGAGCGGGCTCACTGTGCGTCTGCGCTCACAGCCACGACAGCTCCGGTTGCCGTGTCTTCCGGACCACCATAGATTGCTCCTTTAAACTGGGAGCCAAATAAAACCTCCCTCCCTTAAGTGGCAGATTTGGTCCACAAGACCTACAACAACGAGGAAAGTAAGCAGTACAGATAGCATGGTGGGAAGGGGCAGTAGCAAGTCAGGGTGCTGTGGGCACAGTCCCAGGAAGAACCAGTTAGGGACATTCGAAAGTCATTGTATTAGGTTTTGGACAGGTGGTTCAAAAGGACACTGAGACATATTCCTATGGATGAAGAAGTGTATCAGAAGAATTATTAAGGCCATAAACAGACAGTAAGGCAGACAGACAGAGGGGTAGCAGCATGGTAGACTTTGGATCCCAGCACCAGAGACAGACAGCGCAGTGGCATCCCTGAAGAGGAGCAGAACCTGTGTGACTGGGGGGGGGGGGGGTTGTGTCACAGCCCCTGTCAGTGTCCGCGGGAAGAGAGTCTGGATCCTGACATCACATTCTTACACATTGCTTGCTGGGCCTCTTTGTCCAAGACTTTGCTGTTCAGCGTTTCCCCCAAAACCCTTCAGGATCTTGAGCGAAAGTGTCTTTTATGAGGTGTTAATAGGATGACCTGAGGCGCTGAGGAGGGAGCACCATCTCCTCAGTCCCATACCAGCAGTTCAACTTGTGACGGTGTGTGTGTGTGTGGGGGGCAGATGTGGGAGACGATGGGGGGGAGCATGTGGGGGGGGACGTGGGGCGCTTCTGATGTTTCTTCTCAAATGTGTCCTGGTCCTCAAGGCTCCCAACCAACGACCAACCTATGAAGGGAGGGGAGGCCTGGTGGCTTGGTGTTGGACGGCCTGCTGAGTCACAGTGGATGGGGATGTAACAAATAAAGGACAGTTTTCTGCTGAAATGCAAAGGCACTTGATAAAACAACATAGCAGGCCTCAGAGGACAGTGTTAATACCTACACAAAGCATCTCTGAAGTGAAATCTGAAAAGCAAGTTCTGAGGTCAGTTTCTCTGCTTTCCTTTCGATCTATCGCTCCGGTATCTCCTCCTTAGTTTCTCTGATTTTGATCTATTGCTCTGGTTTCCCCTCTCAAGATTTACTCTTCGACTGAATTACTGTTTATGGGGGTGGCTCGTCATACATGCTTCCGTCACTTGTTGACTTTAGGTTTGCCACTAGTATGAAATCATCCTACATTGATTTTGTTAGGTAAGCAATGCCGTCGTTTTCCTTTCTCATAGTCCAGAAACTTCTGTGGAATATTTAACACAATCGTTTGCAGAGCAGAGTCTCCTAAGCCCTCTGCAGTGTTGCCCTCCTCCATTCTATGCCAGCCTCTCCCACTGCTAACTAGCTAACCCTCCATTCCCTAATTAGCAGAACAGGTCTCACCCTCCTTCCCTGAGGTTGCTGCAGGAGTCCAGCCTGCAGCCTTCTGGGTGGAATTGGCACTTTATATATGTCCTCCCTTACAGCTGCATTAGTTACACACGGCTGCATAACAAGCGGCCCCTCCACTTACCAGCACAAACCAACGCAAAACAGCGTGTCCTTGTTTCCTCACAGTTTTTGTGGGTCAGGAACCTGTGAATGAATTATAGGCCTCCCTGTTCAGGATCTCTTACAAAGCTGGTGTCAGCTGGGACCACAGCCATTCCAAGGTGGACCTGGATGGGATTTGCCTCCACATTCTGTCTGAGGCCGCTGACAGAATGTAGTCCCCTGTAGCTTACGGCAGGCCTGTGCTGGGGTCTCTCTCAGTTCCCGATCTCTTGGTCCTTGTGCAGCTTGCTTCATAAGGTTGAACAAGCGCTAGAGAGAAGGTGAAGGGGTAGAGGGGCGTGTGGGGATGAAGACAGTCACATTCCGCAGAAGGGATAAGCAACCCTGTTGCTGTATTCTGAGGAGTAAGTCCTTAGTCAAGCTATGCACTGCAGTCTCCGGCACTTGGGGACCACTGGGAGTCATTTTGTAAGCTGTCCATTACAACTGTGCTTACTCTTTTGCTGTCGTGGCAACTCAGGAGAAATAAAAGGTATTTTGGAAAAAAGTAACAACAGCAACAACAAAAAGCACCACCAAACTATGTCACAGTAGAAACCCTGAGTTTAGAGCTTCGTGTCTTGGTAAAAAAAAATTCTGTATGATTAGGGGTTTCCTCTGTGGATGGGAACTTAAGGCGTTTCCCCAGCTCCATTTGTTGGGTGACTTGTCTTGCTCAAACAAGAGCTTGTGAAGGAAGGAAATTCGCAAAGGAATGGTTGGTTCCTTTGGCATACAGTCCCCAAAAGGAAAATCTGTGTTATTTTATTTATTTTTAACATGAAATCCTTCCAAAGACTCACTAGATGAACCCAAGTTTCTGTGTAGCTCTGCAGAGT